GTGTGGGGGGCAGCGGCTTCAAGAAAGCTGAATCCAAGTGAACACGGAGGGAGCAGAGGACCGCAGGAGGCCCCTGCACCTGGGCACCAGGCCTCGAGGGGTTTTGAAGTGCACCTGTCAAAAAGGACCATCCCCTTCCCTTGCAGAAGGAAGGTGGCTCGGGCACTAAGGGGTGGTGCTGGGCCTTGGGACCCAGGAGGAGCTGGGCACAGAGAGACAGTGACCCCCACAGCTGTGCCAGGGAGCAGATGCAAGGCTCCTCAACCGGGGAACAGCCTGAGCCCCTGAGCCCCGGGGCTGGCATCCGGAGGCGCCGGACCAAAGCATCCCGTGGGAGGCGCCGCAGGCTCTGCGCCCCTCCCCCTCGCACTGCACGAAGCTTCCCGGCAGCAGCGTGCTGCGCCCCAAGGACAGTGGACGCCACTAACAGCCCTGTTTTGGGAAAGATCAAGATTAAAGCAAGCCAGCAAAGCAGAGAAAACAGGAAGGGGAGCTTCAGATGCAAGCAATAATTGAATACAGGTTTTCTAAAAATATTATAATAAACGTGTACACAAGATGAAAGAAACAGGCAACGCTTGAGGAACAGAAACCATGGGAACTGGAAGTGCAACGGCTCGCCCGGAGATTTCTCTGGAGGCTGGAAGATACAATTCAGGAATTTTCTCAGGCTTATAAATCAAAGAGACTCTGGAGAAAATAGAGCCTGTCAGTGCCCAGAAGTCGGGAAGGAAAAGGCAAGATGGAGGAAGGAAGTGGTGAGAAACTCCAGGGCCTGAAGATCCAGTGTTTGCTGCAGAAAGAGGCCACCCCTGTAGTCCCAGCGCTTGGGCGGCTGACACAGGAGGATCATTGCAAGTTCAAGGTCAGCCTGATCTATCAATGAGCTCAAGACCAGCCTGAACTGGACTGTGAGACCCTGTCTCAACAAAAATAAAGAGACCACAGTATCAGGCGCTGTGACTGGGACAGCACCCCCTCAAGGCTGTCACTGCCAACCTCTCTGTGACAAAGAGCATGCCGTGAAAGATCACCCAGGAGAATCAGAATCCCACAAACTTCCCAGAGCAAGGAGAGAGGCTAGCAATCAGGGAAGCGTGCTCTCGGGCTCTCAGGGGGCTCCTTCCGGCCCAGCCCCGGGGCCCATCCAATTATCCTGCTTGTGTGAGGGGAAATAAGGACCTTCTCACAACGCACAGTCCTGTGTCCGTTAGCTTCTGCTGTGTAACAAACTAGCCCAACATTTAGTGGCTTAAAAAACGCTAAGCATTGCTCCTTCTCCTCATTCTTCCCTCAAGCCTCGTGTTCTAGAATGGCCCCCTGGTACCTGTAGGGCTGGCCCGAGGCCGAGCAGGGTCACCTGGCTGTCATCACATGTGCCTCTGGTCACTGCCTGCTCTCTTCCCACCATGACCCACCAGGCACATGTGCTGCTCAGGCCTCTGCTTGGGTCGCATGTGCTGGTGTTCCACTGGCCAAAAATGTCCCACGGCCAAGGCCAGCATCAATGTGTGAGGAGCTCATGCAAGGGGTGGGAAGTTTTGAAACTCCGCCTGTCTATCTACGTGCCATGGGGGAGGTGTCCACCAACATGAAGGCAGAAGCCAGGAAGGAAGAGAACACTGAGGAAGGGACTCCTGGTGTCCCCATAAGGGACAGCTCCTCCTCATTCATCCACAAGGCTGTTGTCTTGCCGCCATGCACAGGGCCACATTTCTCAGCTTCCTTGGTGGCCAGGCATGGCCAATGGAAAGCAGATAGGCAGGCAGATCCCAGTGTTGCTCTGAGAAGAGAGCCGAATGCCTCCTCTTGCCCTTTGACCCTTCACACTGGCTAGACTGGGGACACAGAGTGGAGGTTGTGGTGGCTTTTAGATCTCCAGACACAAAACACCGGTCAAAAGAGAACAACAAGATGGGAGGAACCCATGTCAAGCCGACACGGCAGCCTTGGCCCATGCGACCCTGTTGACCCCAGAGGAAAGGAAATTACTTTGCATGAGCTCCTGCCCTGGGCTCCTCACCTGAGCAGCCTGACTTACTTCCTAGCTAACATACATAGCAACCCTGAAACTAGGATCTAATACAGGAGATGCAAAGAGGGCCAGGAAGAGGGGACAGAAGGTGCTGGGACAGCAGCGACTAAAAGCCACATTACAGAGGGAAGCAGAAGACGAGGAATCTGGGAGATGCACGTGCTCATCTCCGCGATTATGAGGTC